CCTGCTGAGCTTTTCCAGCAACTTTGTTTTTGTTCCTGATTTACAGCATCCACAGTTCTTTTGGTTTTTATTATTAAAAACCACCCCCACATTAGGACAAAGCTGGGCTCTAGCTCTCCTCACAGGTGGTTGCTGCTCCAACAGTACCAAGTGCTCAGGGGCATGGAGCTCCTCAGGTTGAAAGCCAGCTGGCCACAGCTCACCTCCCGACCCAATCCTGAATGCTGTCCTCTCACTCCATGGTTGGGAGAGCAAATGTGAAGAGTGAGACAGGATAATGAATTTTCTTTTTTTAGAAACAGTGAAGGCCTCACCACCAGCTTCAAAGGTGAATAATGACCAGTGAGGTGAATAAGCAAACTGTGGGCAATGTACTTGCAGCCAGGATTGTTTGTACATCATGGAATTTAACGCTGCAGGAGTGGAAGCTACAGAGCGAAAACAGCTCTGGGGAGGACAACAGTGTGACGGATGGATTATTTCCAGAAAATACCACTTTAGGATGAACCACACCAAATACCAAAGGAAAGGGAGATCTGAAGATCAAATAAAACTAGAATGAGACACACATGGAAAGTTTCAAATAATTTATTAGGAATTTTAAATGAAATCTGAAAAAGGGTTACAGAGCCAGAGATGACATTTCTCAGATTGCAATAACTTACTGGCAAAAAAAAATAGACAGAAATGTAAAAAGGATTAAAAAGCAAAAAACCTCTGCCTGGCAGTACAATGCACTGGGGGAGCAAGACATTATTTACCAAACACCATTTCATTTAAAAAGAAAGACAGACTTTCACTTGTATAGCGCTTTTACTGACCACCAGACATCTCAAAGTGCTTCACAGCCAATGAAGTACTTTTTATGGAAGTATGGTCACTGTTGTAATTACGAAATGTGGCAGTCAATTTGCGCACAGCAAGTTCCCAATAACAACGGCATGTTAATGACCAGATAATCCATTTTATTTGTGTCTGATGTTGACTGAGGGATAAATATTGGCCAGAGTCCCTGGGATAATTCCCCTGCTCTTCTGCAAATAGTGCCATGGGATCGTGTACATCCACCTGAGAGAGTGGACGGGGCCTTGGTTTAACGTCTCATCCGAAAGACGGCACCCTCCGACAGGGCAGCACTCCATCGGTACTGTACTGGAGTGTCAGCCTCGAATTGAGAGTTCAAGCCCTGGAGTGGGACTTGAACCCAGAACCTTGTGACCAATAGGCGAGCATGCTGCCAACTGAGCCACAGCTGATAGAACAAAAAAACAACAAAATGATTTCAACAAAAAAAAAAAAAATTGCTCCCCAAGATGCATTTTTACAAAATAGCGTTTATTGCTGTCACAAACAAGTGTTTGTTTGTAATTCCAGTAGTTTTTTTTTAAAAAAATCAAGAGCAAAGCTAGCAACTCTCCACAGAACTGTCAGTTTAACCACTGACAAAGGACAAGTAAATGCCCCTGGAATAAACTGACAGAGAATCGCAGCATTTAATGCCCTAAAAATCTTATCATTTTAAACAGTTTTCTGTTTTGCTTTTTCTTTTCACTGTAAGCGCTAAACTGGCCTTAATCATCTTTTTAAAAAAAAAAATCAATTCCTGTGTCTTTTTTTTCTTCCTCCCTCTAAAACACATTAATTAAAAAAGTATTTTACAATAATTCAATGTGACTCTTTCTGTCTGTGATTATGTCATATATTAAATGTGTCATTAAACCCATGGGGAGGTAAGGAGAAGCCTCCTCAGGTCAACTTGATTCCTCATCTTTCAAAACAAAAGGTTCTGATGTTCGTATACATGTTCTTTACTCACTGCTGCTTGTGGGGGGGGGGGGGGGGGGG